TACTTCTTTTCAGGTGGAGCAAACTTGAGTGTCCGGCCTAGCCATCTCTCCCACCTGGGGTGCTGCTTGGGACTAATAAATACACTGTAGGTTATGCACAAAACAATCATTTCTGTAATTCAGCTGTAGGAATAAACCTATTTTTCTAAATTATAACAATAACATCAAGATTCAGTTCTCAAAATTGCTTAATTAAAAGAGCTGGCATTACACTGTGCCCTACTCTATAACAGCACAGTGCAAAATTTAGGGAAAGAATTACCAGGGTTGTTTCACTGAAATAACAAAAAGGGGAAAGAATATCGAGAACAATGATAGCCGTAGTAAAGAAATGCCCTTAACATTCTTGCTTCTGCTATCATTCATGGCAGTAAACCAAACAACTGTGTTGACCTCAAAGATATCGTTACCACTTTATGGTTCTGAACTGACAGAAGAATGGAGGAAGCCAGAGCTTAATGGGGACTGGAAGAGGACACTCTGAGGGGATGCAAAAGACTCTCATCTACCTTCTGGTGACAAAATGGGGCACAGCAAAGGTTGCCAAACTACGTACATTCTGTCAGATTCTTAGAAGGGGTTCCTTCCATCTTCTGTGAAGACTTCTGTTCTTTCTGTTCTTGAAAACGGATTTCCATGTTTTGACTGTTACGATGGGAAAGCATTATATTTGAAGTTTATGGGGATGGCAAAAAAGGAACATTTCAAATAGTGTAATTTTTCTTGTTTATTCCATTCTCATACTTCCAGAGTTTCATGGGGTTAAAGAACAGAGTAAGTAAAAAATAAATAAATAAATACATGAGCTACTATATAAATGCTACATTAATTCAATAACGTGTTATCTGAATCTCAGATAAAAGCACTGCAGGTAAATTGTCTTAACAACACAAGAGAATAGCCCTTTTGACATAAAAACAAAGAAAAGGGAAGCCTCAATTTTGGGATGTATATATGTGTATCTATATTTTATATATGTATATATGTGTATATGTGTGTATATATATATTATATATGTATATATGTGTATCTATCTGTATTTTATCACTGAGGTGAATAGCTAATCAATGATAGATTTTAAGAAGGCATAACAAGCTATTTTAATTTAAGAATTTTTAAAAGTGGCTTACCATTTATTAATTTTATTATGCAGCATTGTACTAATTAGGCAGGCATTAATGTTGGCTCCATTTTGGTGACAACTTAAAATCAGGCCTGCCACCTGGCGCCTGATGAAGGAAATCTTAGTTTGAGCTCTCTTGTATTGGGTAGTAAGGGAACAAGAAAGGCTCAAGCAAGCCTCTCAAACATAATACTTTACTACATCCATGTTGGCTTTTTGCAGTATGGTAGCGCTGCAGAGAGCTTGCTGGGGAGACCATGCATTAAAAAGGGACTCAAAAATAACTTAAACAAGGTTTTAATAAGAAAAACAAAAACTCCTTTTACACTAAATACATTAACAAACAAACATGACCCAACCACCAACCCATCCCCCAGGGTGATGGAAGAGCTAGGTGCTGCTCCTTACATACTACACCCAATTGCCAACACAGCTTAATCAGTACAACTCGGCAGCACCTGGTATGTTTCACAGCTGTAAAGCTGGGTCTCGTTATCTTACTCTGGCCCTTGCTTTGGCCCCTTAAAGACATACACATCGGGTGGAACAGTGATGAACCTTTACATTTAAAGAAACCATTCAACATTTCCCCTGCGGTTCATCATTGTGGAACAAAAACATAAAGCATACTTTGTACATGTTTTTCATGTATACCTTTTGGAAGTGCTTTAGTAAAAATGTCTGCAATTTGATTGTCACCTGGAACATATTTAAATACAACCATTTCATCAGCAATTAGTTTCTTTACAAACTGTAAACGTAATCTTAAGACTTTAGTGCGCTGCGTATTGGTTTCTGAACATAGGATAGCGAGTCCACTCTGGGAATCAAGGTAAACTTTTACTGGTAGTGTTACTTGCATCTGTAGGTCTGCGAATACTTGCAGATACCATTCTACATCACGAGTGGCCTGAACGCATGCACATAATTCACTCTCTGTTGTGGAGAGACAAATAATGTTTTGTGTCTGGGACTTCCATTCAAATGGACAACCGTTATAACAAAACACCATACCAGACGCACCCCTGCAATTATTTTGTTCCACTGCATGAGATGCATCACAGAAAATTTCAAAACCTTTGTCAATACATGTTGTAAACTGCAACCTATAATGTTTGGTATGTTTAAGGTACATTACCACTCTCTTAAGAGCAGAGAAACATTGTGTAGTGGGCTTTTCCACAAATTTTGCCAGAAAGTGAAAGGCATAAGTTATATCTGGTCTTGAGATTCTTTGAATGAAATTTAGCTTGCCTATAGCAGAATGATACAAAGTTTTGTTAGGAAATGGCTTATCTTCACCTGTAAAAGTGAAACCACACTCCATGGGCGTTTCCTTCCCATTTGCATTTTCTAAACATAGCATTTCCACAAGATCATCAATTTTTGCAGTTTGATGAACCAGAAAAGATCCATTTTTGCCTTTCTCAATTTGTATGGATAAGTAATTTTTAGCTATGCCTAATTCCACCACATCAAATTTCTTCTGTAACTGTATTACTACCTGTTCATATTCCTGTTTAGTTTTTGTAGAAATTAACACGTCATCTACATACACACATATTTTTGCTACAGAGTTTGCCCTTTCTTTTATAAACACACAATTGTCTGTCTTTCCCTGTGAAAAACCAATATCCAGCAATTCTTTTGCTAAAGTTTGGTGCCAGTTCCTTCCACTTTGGTGCAGACCATAAAGGGATTTATTTAATTTGCATACCAAACCTTCAGCGGCGTCTATGCCTTCAGGGACACGCATAAAAATTTGTTCTTTTAAATCTGCAAACAAATATGCAGTTTTTATATCTAGGTGATAAACAGAATGTCCACGTTGTGATGCATCTTTTAACAAAAGCTTAACTGTTTCATATTTTACATTTGGTGAATAACACAAATCATAATCTTCGCCTGGAATTTGTTGAAAACCCTTAGTAACTAATCTAGCCTTGTACCTTACAACTTCATTTTTGTCATTCATTTTAACTCTATAAACCCATTTTGAATCAATAAGTCTCATATCTGGGGTTTGTGGTACAAGAGACCAAGTGTTATGCTCTTTTAAAGAAACTATTTCAGAGTTCATAGCTTTATACCAATTTACAGCTTGGTGCTTAGGTAAATTCTGAACATCATTGTAGCTTTTGGCTCAAAAACTGCCTTATTGGCATACACAGTATTAAAATGTTCATCTGCAAAACGTTGTGGCTTCTGTCTCTTTCTATCTGAACGTCTTAGTCCGGAAGGAGAGTCAGACTCCTCAGACTTAATGGGACTATGTAAACTACTAGTTTCAGGTTGTAAATCATCATTGTCAGACTGAAGAGATGCCTGTTGGCTAAGCTCACGGTCAGAAAACTCAAGAGAATCTAACCTCCCCTCGGGTGCCTGTGACTTTAAATCATCAAACAAATTATCAGATTCAACAGGCTTTTCGTCTTTTCCCATTAATTCAGAAGCACCATTTCCTGCTGCTGCTGCTGCTGCTTCTTCTACCTCTTCTTCCTCAGTATTATCTATACCGTTAGTATCTTGGAAAATAGCAACGCCATTCCAATTTACAATTTGTATCATGCTTCTGGTAATATGAAATTTGCCAGTTGCTGGTATGTAAATTCTGTACGCCCCCTGCTGGTAGCCCATTAATTTTCCCTGGACACTACGTTCACCCAATTTCTGCTTAGCGGGATAATGCATTATTACATCTGAACCCCAAATGCGTAGGTATTTCAGATTAGGGCGTTTTTTTAAACAGCCTCTCATAGGGGGTGACATCTAAACCAGAATGATAACTGCGATTTCTAACATAACAAAAGGCATTGAGCGCTTCAGCCCAAAAGTCTTTGGGCAGATTAGCATCATGCAGATAAGTTTTAACCCCTGCCTGCAGGTCACGCTGCACAACTTCAACAAGCCCATTTTGCCAGGGACTTCGGGGCAAGATAACTCATGGGTAGTCCCCTGCGCTTCCAGGAATTTCTCAAAATCCTCAGAAACAAATTCCCGCCCGGTCAGAAAAAGGTTCTTAATAGGTTTGTTAAAATGTGTTTTTACCCAGTTGCAAAAAACTTTGTACTTCTCAAATGCTTGGGACTTCTCAGCTATTGCATAAGTCCAACAATATCTACTATACTGGTCTATCAGGGTAAGCCAATACTTAGAACCTCCTAAGGATGGTGGGAGTGGCCCAACTAAATCACAAAGTACACGCTCAAATGGCTCAGTTACTTTCCTATCTGAGCACCTACCCTTGCGTGCAACCTTAATCTTATTCTTGCAACAGGATAGACATTGCATAAAGAATTTACATGGTTTTAAGTTGAGGCCATTAACAGTATTCTTGGTCTTAATTACATCAGCAAAATTCAGATGTCCCAGAATTCTGTGCGCCTCATGGACACACCCAGAATGTGGCCTTACATTCCTCAACCCCTGGCTTGACTGTGCTGCTCTGCAATTTATAGGTGATTGGGAGTAGGTGCGAAAATACAGTCTATATAAACCATCAGATTCCCGGGCATACAATAGACGTTTGTTCCCCTCGAAAAACTCACACATTGACTTTAAGAAACGCACAGTTATGCCTTGACGAGCAAAACACCTTACTGACAATAAATTGTCCACTGATGGGCAGTAAATGCAGTTCGCTATAGTAATGTTTAAAGAGTCAAGTTTAACAGTACCCCTGCCAAGCGACTGCAAGACTTGTGAATTGGCTAAATGTACATTACCAATTTCCTCTTCGAAAGAAATAAACAAGCTTCGATCGTTGCAAACGTGCTGAGATGCTCCTGAGTCCACAATAAAAGAATTCCACTTGGCACCTTTAATTCTTTTACGATCTCTTGTGCTAGCGTGAAAAGCTCGTGGCTCGTTTCTGTCTTTACGGTACGATGCCGGCTGCTGAGCTGACGACCGTGACTGACAAACAGAAACAGACTTGGGAGTACTTTGCTTTCTTTTGGATCTGCAGTCCTTTGCAAAATGTCCTTGCTTATTGCAGAACCAATAACGCTTTGCAGCTTTAAATGCAGTTGTATCACCACAAGTTTGCATATGGTGTTCCTCATTCTTTCTGGAAATAGGAGTGCTTATGGCACAAGCCTCCCTTCTGTCCAACTCGCCCATTAATCTTGCCGTTACCCCTTCCACAGTTAATTGTGCTGGTGGAACGGCAGATATTTGGCTAGCTATACCATCAAAGTCCTCATTAAGGGAACAAAGGATGATGAAAACATACTGAATATCAGGTATCTCCATGTCCCTTCGAATTAATTCACCGCGTATTGCCTCCAGACGTCTCAAGTGTGCCGCCAAATCACCACCAGGCTGCAACTTCGTCTGGTACAACTGCTTGAAAAACGTCAATGCAGACGCTGACTCTTTTCTAACATGCACTGCTGCAAGACTGTCCCACATTTCTTTGGCAGTTTTCTTATTCCTTATATAGACTACTTGCTGGTCGCTGACTGCCAAATTAATTATCGCCCTGGCTTTTGCATCTCCTTTCGACCAAGCATTAGTCACAGGGTCAGGAGGGTCATCAGTTACATAGGTCCACACTTCTCTAGAGGTCAAAAGCGCCTCCACCCGAAAAGACCATAAACTATAGTTCTCATCTGTCAGCTGTGGGAAGACCAGAGCCTTCTCAGCTTCAGGAACCCGGTCAACCATTCTGGAACTCTTCCAGACCCACAGAACTACGCTAACAGGAGAAGGAGTTTTCAAACCTTTCTCAGAGTCCAAAAATATGCAGTCATCCACTCAGCAGCTGGGCCCATAACCAAAGATGTTGGCTTTTTGCAGTATGGTAGCGCTGCAGAGAGCTTGCTGGGGAGACCATGCATTAAAAGGGACTCAAAAATAACTTAAACAAGGTTTTAATAAGAAAAACAAAAACTCCTTTTACACTAAATACATTAACAAACAAACATGACCCAACCACCAACCCATCCCCCAGGGTGATGGAAGAGCTAGGTGCTGCTCCTTACATACTACACCCAATTGCCAACACAGCTTAATCAGTACAACTCGGCAGCACCTGGTATGTTTCACAGCTGTAAAGCTGGGTCTCGTTATCTTACTCTGGCCCTTGCTTTGGCCCCTTAAAGACATACACATCGGGTGGAACAGTGATGAACCTTTACATTTAAAGAAACCATTCAACAATCCATACTACATATGGAGGGAGCAGGATTGTAGCTGTAGAAGCCTTAGGGTTGTATTTTGAGGTTTTGTAGGCAACAGACTACTTCATTGGCTACATTATGAGAGCTGGAAGGACTATGCAGAAGCACTTTCCCATGGAAATTATGCAGCATGGCTTTAAATAAAATTGCATATTACTGATTATTCAAAGGGTGGTGGGGCATGCTCCATTACTTCACCATCCCTGAGCCCACCGAGGTTTTTAGTTTGCTGACTTACAGATCCATTGATAAGGTACATGAAACAAAGGCACACATTGATTTGGTAAAATGCACCATTAACAATTTATTAGAGGAAGCACAATATATTTTACTGTTGTTCAGTTGCATCTAGCCCAGGGTTCAATTGAGGATTAAATTGTGTGATGCCCCACACATTAATAATTGCTGAGACTGACATTTATGAGGCTCTTATGAAGGATGAGGCAAGCTTTCAGGGGAATGTCATTTAAAAGACTGGATTAGATGCTGACATGCCCAGGTGGCTGCTAATAATGAATTAAATAGAACTCCAATTAATTGCCACTTAGATATGAACCTTTTTATGGCAAATATTAATAAGGTAATCAATAGGCCACCCTTCCTTGCATTTAGCAGAGCATTTCCTGAGTCCCGAGTGCAAATTTAAATTGTGCCCAACATTCTCTGACATTTTGTGGAATATTTGCATTTGCAAAAAAAAAAAGAAAAGAAAAAGTAATCAAAACTATCTAACTTAGGTAGAGGGGATCCTTTTCTGATGCCATCCTAATGGAGTGTGTGTGTGTGTATATACCGGTATATATATATATATATATATATATATATATATATATATATGGTAAAGGTACCCCTGCCCGTACGAACAAGTCTTGACAGACTCTAGGATTGTGCGCTCATCTCACTCTATAGGCCGGGAGCCAGCGCTGTCCGCAGACACTTCCGGGTCACGTGGCCAGCGTGACGAAGCTGCTCCGGTGAACCGGCACCAGAGCAGCACACGGAACGCCATTTACCTTCCCACTATAAAGCGGTCCCTATTTATCTACTTGCACCTGGGGGTGCTTTCGAACTCCTAGGTTGGCAGGCGCTGGGACTGAGCAACGGGAGCGCACTCTGCCGCAGGGATTCGAACCGCCGACCATGCGATCGGCAAGTCCTAGGCGCTGAGGTTTTACCCACAGCGCCACCCACGTCCCATATATATACACACAGATTATATATATATATAGTCGTACCTCAGAAGTCGAACGTAATCCGTTTCAGAAGTCCATTTGACTTCCAAAATGTTAGGAAACCAAGGCATGGCTTCTGATTGGCTGCAGGAGCTTCCAATCAGAAGCCACAGAACCAGTGTCGGATGTTCGGGTTCCAAAGAACATTCACAAACTGGTACACTTACAGGTTTGCGGCGTTCGGGAGCCAAAACGTTCGACTTGCAAGGCGTTCAACTTCTGAGGTACGATTGTATAATGGTGCGTTCCAACGAAGGAATATTTCTTGTCTTTGATATTGATGATCAGCTACCATAAATGCACATAGTTTCATATGTGGATGATGGGACTGATCGTGACCGGAGGGGAGCTCAGACACGAACATGTTTTCTTTGTCTGAATACAGTGGTTGACTTGGGTACTTGCAAGGCAAAAATTCCTCTCCCAGTCCTTGTGCTGAGTAAGGAGGTACCCAGCTTTGGAAATGAGGTGCAAGGGCTCTAGCAGGGTCCTAGAGCCACCTCCTTCCCAAAGCTTGGAAAACACTAACTAGACTTTGGGAAGGAGGCGAGAGGACTCTAGGGCCCTGCCAGACCATCCACGTCTCCTGCAAAGCCCAACGCCTCGCTTACCAAACTTTGAGACAGCAGCCCCTCAGCTCAGTGCCAAGTACATGGGCACCACTTGCAAAGTCCTAATCCTGCCCTGCCATTTTAACAATATGCAAAATGAAATACAGTCATCCTTCAAAATCCACACCTCCAGATTTTGTGATATAGGCCTCCAACCAAAGAAGCTATGCAAAAATGTGTGGTTTAGGGGAAGTGTACTTAAAAGTGCATTTACCCTGTGACCTAGGTTAGGCTGAGAGACGATGATGATGATGATGATGATGATGATGATGATGATGATATTTGTACCCCACACATCTTACTGGGTTGCCCCCAGGCACTCTGGGCAGCTTCCAACATATATAAAAACATAACAGAACATTGCAGGTTGAAAGGCTTCCCTATACAGGAACACTTAGTGAGCTCCATCGCTAAGTGGGGATATGAACCATGGTCCCCCAGTTCCCGGTCCAGCACTCTAGCCCCTACACCACACTGACTCCACCCCAACACCAAGCAGGGTAGGGCAGAGGCTAAGGGGCTAAGTACACAGCCATTCAGATCCCTAGGATTACAAAGAGGATTGCAATCATTACAGCCAAAGGAAATGGGTTTTGTGTTTTCATCATCCCAAATATGTATACAGCCGTACCTTGGTTCTCGAATGGAATCTGTTCCGGAAGTCCGTTCGACTTCCGAAAACGTTTGAAAACCAAGCCCAGCTTCCAATTGGCTGCAAAAGCTTCCTGCACTCAGTCGGAAGCCCGGTCAGATGTTCGGCTTCCAAAAAACATTCTCAAACTGGAACACGTACGGTACTTCACAGGTTTGCAGCGTTCAGGAGCCAAAACGGACAAGTACCAAGGCGTTCAAGAACCAAGGTACGACTGTATTGGATTTAAATAAAAAATAAAAACAACAATAATGAAAGCAATTGCGATGCAACACTTTGCCAGCTAGTGCCGCAACAGAACAATTTTGTGTGTGTGTGTGTGTGTATATATATATATATATATATATATATATATCCTCGTGTGTGTGTGTATGTATATATATATATATCCTCTGGATTGAACAGTGAGGTCTAAAGCAGGCACGTAGGAAAAACCTACAGGGAAAGCAAAAAAACATATCAACAGTCCTTCTATTAATGAATGTTTGCTCAGACTAAGCCCTATTTTATCATCTCTATTAGTTTCTTTACAGGCCCTGTCTCTGTTGAATACTGTGGCAAAGTTGGCAAAGAATGTATTACATAAAGTAATTATTGAAAGGTCTACAGACACTAATCAGGTTGGGGTTTTACAATCGGGGCACCTACCTAAGGATTTAGAGATAACAATGGTATTTTAGAGAAAGGAGCACTTTGCAGTCAAGTAGCCATATAATATATGCCGACAAGAGGAGGAATCCATGAAGAGTGCCTGCATTCAATGTAAAGAAACAGTCCAAAACTCCACACCGTATCTGACGTATAGGTCATGTTCCCATTTACTCATAGCCCCCTTCTTGTCTAGACTGGAGAATGTTCTACATCCCCCGTGGTGAATTCCAGTTATACATGCCACAACCTTCTCTATAGACGTCCCCAAGATTTACGTACATATTACAGAATTGTAGAGTTAGGAGGCACCACGAGGAACATCTAGTTACAACCGCCCTGCAATGCAGGAATCTTTTTGCCCGACATGAGACTTGAACCCACAACCCTGAGTTTAAGAGTTTCATGCTCTACCAACTGAGCATGGAACAATCCTTAAGAAAATAAGAACATAACATGAGGCTGCTGGATGAGGCCTATCTAGTCCAGCATCCTGTCTCCAGTGGGGCTGGCCACATTCCTGTGGGATGTCTGCAAGCTGGATGTGAGTAGCACAGCAGCATTGCCATATGTCCTCTTTTTCCAGGACACATCCTCTTTTTCATGGGTAGAGTCATCTTAGCGATCCATAGTTAGAAGTCAGCAAATGTGTCCTCTTTTTTGCTCTTCAAAATATGCCAACCCTAACATGTCACTTCCTTCTACAGGGCGGTTCACTCCAATCTGCTTTTCGTCCGTGGGATCTCAGAGGACATAGCCCCAAACTTTGGCATTAGCCATCCCAGCAACTCTGGGTTTTCTTCGGCACAGCAGCTGGTCTATAGAGAGGGGAACTCACTTAATTGTTTGCTGTATGAATCTGAGACTGTCATTCTACAGGTAGGTGCCTCGCAAGTGTTTTCTACCTATGTGATTGTCTTCCTGTACCCAGACCATCCTCCTCACCTCTTCCCCTGGCTCTCTCTTATTTTCCATCACTGAAAGGTCAGAGCAGTCATCCAGGGATCTCTATGCCTTAACTATAGCGAGCATAATATGGCTAGTTCCACCTACGGAGCAATCTTCAATGGTCCTTGGAATAACTGAACCAACACAAAAGTGCCAGGGACCCTAGATGAGACATCAGTATTTGAAGGAAGGAACCGAGAGAGTGGAGATAGTTGGTTGGACACTCCTGGAACAACCGTTATTGACCACAGTTCCTCGGGGCATGTCCACTGCATGCTTATGGATATGGCAAAGGGTCATGGCTTAGCAGCAGAGCATCTCCTTTGCATGTAGAAGGTCACAAGTTCATACACAAATATCTCCATTTAGGACCAGGAGAGAACCCTGGAGAGCTGCTACCAGTCATGGTAGACAATACAACATTTTTATGTTCTTGTGAGCCTTCCTGCTGCGTCGTATTGCTTTTGTCACAGAAAACAGTGGGGAATGGGTGGCAAACACGGCTTGGTAATATATGAACTGGTCCTTAGTCGTCCTTGATAATTAAAACATAAGAAATGTTATGCCAGTGTGTCATGGAATTCTACTCAATATTGATCAAGAGTAGATTCCAATGTATAGTTAGCAGAGTAACAACGTAAACATGTTGCAGGATTCCCCACAAAAAGACCAGAGGCAATTGTATTTCATCCAGCAGAGCTTTACTGCTACTGAAGGCAAATGAGCATAATGGTCACAAATCCAATACATTCAGGATTGGCACTGTCCATAAGAAATCCAGTTGTAGCAGACTTAACGTAAACTTACAGTAACTTATAATAAGACTAAACCTTAATACGACATACAGAACTCCACACCAGAAGGAAAGAGAGACAGAAAGAGAAAGTGAAACCAGGCTCCTTCTGGCCTCTTATTATAGCCAGTATGACCTTGACAGAAGAGATAAGAGAACCAGTTTAAGCCAGCTGTACTCAGCTTCTCTGAAGGAATAACCCAAACATCGTGAACTTTCTGCTTGCTTCTTTCACACAGAGAAGCTTCCAGAACCCTCTTGAATTAAGTAGAATAGGAAAAACCTCTACATATCAGATCAATACTTTCAGCACAAAGAAATGCAAACGGACAAAGTGGGCAGAGAGTTAAAAGAAAGAAGGCGACAAAATAAAAACAACAATATGGTAATAGGTGAAGGAAGGAGAATTCAAGTGGGGGGGTGAGAATATGGGCTTTCTTACGCTTCGCCTTTCTGCAAAGGAGGAATGTATCCCAGTCCACCAAGAACTGAGTTAGGTTTTGATGCTTGCCTGTTTGCAAACTGAATTACCAGACTGAAACTATCACTTTTGGGTTCTTCACTCTTTGATACGATTTTAAATTTAAGTTTCTACACAGTAACTCTACTCAGGAGGAACATTCAAAGGCAGCATTAAAATGGATTCCCACCCACCCATCTAAGAGCTGTGTGAAATGGATGGGACAGTGAAAGCATATATAGGATGGAGTGCTGCCATCTTTTGGTTACACAATTTCCCAGTGTTGCAAGGCAGGTCCAGCAGTGACAGACTTAGGAGAATTTGAAAGCACAACAGAAGCACAGAGTACTAATGCTATTGCAAGTATAAGATCATTTACACGACTCGCTTGGATATAATTTGCAATATTTTCTCTTGCATAAAGTGTCATTTTCTTCAGACCACTGTGAATTCATCTAATGCAGAATAATATATATATCAATATTAGGTAATATAGAGTGGCTTTCACCAGGTGCAGCCATAGGACTGATGAGAGTTGTACTCCACAATATCGGAAGGGCAGCAATTTGGCAAAGGCTGATATAGGGAAGATACTGGCCAGTCAAGATGCAGGAATATGCAATAGTATATCAAATAAATATATCAAAAGAGGCAGTGTGGTGTATGCTACCTTGAGTGCCTTGGAGAAAAATGTAGAATATAAATGCATTAAATTACTGAAAAGATAATGAACTTCCATTTTTTAAAAATCATTAATTGTTGCTGTTGTCTTGTGGTATCCTAAGCCTTCCTGCTGCTGTTGCCGTCTAAACTACACTCAGGGTAGATTGAATCAGTAACTAAAGACCATAGAGTCAAATGGGTCTACTTGGAGTAGGACTGAATTAGAGAGCCCATGATGACCATTACTGCCATTATTATTATTATTATTATTATTATTATTATTATTACAAAAGCTGGCATTTTTCTTATTTTTAACTAATATGGAATGTGTGAGAAGCTCTTTATACTACATCTGAATATATATGGATGTGTAGAAACCTGCTGATCTTGCACAGTCATTACATATTTTTAGAGCTAATTGGAAATCAAACTGCCATCTTTTAGCCATCTTTACTGCAACGGCCAACAGTCTGCTGAAAGTACATCAGTATAAAGGCTAGGTGAAAATTACCCTTAACTCAGTTTTTAAAGACTACGTTTTCATCTAAGATTTAAGGTTGAAATCCACTGATAGTCTTAAGCACATACACTAGCCATGATGATTTGTTTTTTTTTTTCTTCATTCTACCTGACATCTAGAGAGCTTCCCTAGACACCTCATTTAAAAAGCCTTTTAGTGGACTTTAACTGATCTTCACAGGAAGATAGTCAGTTGCCTTCTGCTGAGTTAGGTCCACCTGCCTCAACATTATAAGAAAAGAAAGAAAGAATTTCAAATGCATTGATGGTTCTTGTATGGCCCCTTGGTTTCCAAACATTCTTGCACCAGGGCTACCATGACTGCAAAAATGCCACTGAGCATGTGCATGGTCCATTTCCTTCTCTGCTAATTACAGCTTATTCACTTTCCTCACTCATGTAGAATTAAAGATGCAGTGCACATGGTTGGAATTCTTCACAGGTGAGAGACCCTCTTTTATTTTACAGTTAAGCACTTCCCACTACCTCTTTTGCCAGCATCATATGCAATCTGATAACCTAGACGTTCTCCCCACAAGAATCTACTCCTGGTTCCACCACCACTACCACCCCATCTCCTTTCTAGCCACTCATCTCAAAAGTACACTATTTCCTCCCACAGCTCTCTGCCTCCTGTGCTATAGACATTCTCTGCTCCCAGTGTAGGACTGGGAATGGGCAAATCTGTCACTTCCAGTTTCCCCCGGTTTCTCATTTTTTCCAATCTTAAATGCAGTTTCTTAAATTTCCACATCAGTTTGCGATTAAAAAGAAAGTAATTCACCAGCATTTTAGAATGATTTTCTCCTGATATGCACTCTCCTTTTTATATGCCATTTTGCCTAATATAAATAATCTAGCAATGCAGTTTCCCACTTTGTGTGTTATTTTCAGTAATGTTGGTACCCTAGTGCATGCATTTTAATACACAGTATATGGCTGGAGACCAGCATTGCAAAATTCAGAGATGTGTGAATTTCCAAGGATGGCTGTGTTTTGGTTCTCGTATTGTGCTAATTTGTTATGCTCACATGGAAATGGAATCAACTTTCTCCCCCATCCCTTCTCAGGAATATACTTATGTCAGTGCTCAGTCCAGGAATCTTCCCTCCACACCCCTCTTTCCTTTTGTGTCATGTCTTTTTATGACACGAGGCCAGCTATCTGCTGATTTGTAAGCTGCTCTGGGAGCTTTTGTGGCTAAATGGCAGGGTAAAAATGCTTTTAATAATAAATCAATACATTTTTCTGGGGGTGGGATCTGTTTCCGGGACCAAAACTGGACCCAGAGGATGAAGGAAACACTCAGCCTTTCCTCCCCACAAAAGAAACTCCATCCCTCTCTCTCTCTTTCACCATTTTCCCACCTCCGCCTGCTGAAACAAATCAAACATTCTTGCTTCATGAATATTTTAATTCCTTGAGACTTCTATGTCTTCTTTGTCTTTTTGGAACCCCTTCAGTGATCATTCAGGTTCCTCGCAGATCTGGATTTATTTATTGCATGAATTCTGCTTCCTTGCTGCTGTTGCCTCCGCATGTCATTAAAGATGCTTGGCAGCCTCTCCTCCACATGATGGTTGTGTTTTGTCACTTTCTGCTTCTGCTGATGCAGTGATATGTCTTCTGTCAGTGGAGGTTTGAAGGCACATTACCCTGCTTGACAGGAATAGTGAGCTACAAGGATTTCCTGAGGAGAAACTTCCCAGATGCAGGATTGCAGGATGCAAGGCTTCTCATTTCTCAACTGCATCATCATCATTGTTATTATTATTATTATTATTATTATTATTATTATTATTATTATACCACTAGAGGTATAGTTAATGAAACAAACATTCTGTAGCACCATTCTAAATGAAATTGCCGGCTAAACTTCTTCCCAGATGCCTGGACTTTTGTGAAGGCTTTGTCACCGACAAATAATCCATGACGAAACCAAGGGAGTTTACACCAAGGGGGCATACAGAGATATTTGAACATCTGCCAGTCATGAGAATGGAAAGCTTGTTCTTCTTAGCAAATGTTACTCAATGATGTT